GATCAGGCCCTAAATTCAGAGTAATAAAACTATCAAGGCATTTTTACACCAAAATCATCATGTACTTTCCAGACAGCTACTAGATTACACCAAAAATTTGCTCCCACACAGCATGGCACTCATAAGTAAAGAATGACGTAAGGGGGGAATGCTAAAAATAATTAAGTATAATTGGCATGCTGTATGTTTTTAAAATTAGTTTATCAGTATTACAAGAGCTTCCCTGTCCATTGTGTCCACAATGTAGAGAAAAATGTCAAAGCAAAAAGATGGCTCATCCCCTCCAGATGATTTTTATGCAAGGTAAAGGGGGGTGACTGTGATTGTGAACCTTCTTGGATGGATAAAAACATACTTGTATTCATGTGCAAGTGTTTGCATAATGACTGTCAAATTTATTCCCACAATGACTTTATTCCTTAGTTTAACCTTTAATTATTGGTAGCAATTGTGGTGCATATCTTACAGCATAGACTGAACAGCCCTCAAGATTTGTAAATATATTCACTATCAGTATCATCCACAGAGCTTAGGCAAATAGAGAGGACAAATGGAATTATCAAAAATTCATCAGTTAAATTGATCGAGAAGACATACTCCCTGTCCTCGCCTCCTTCCCCAGGTTCTGATGATATATTCTCCTCAAAGTAGCCATCAGCTGAGATATTGTGAAATATAGCAGTCACTAGGAGGTTTGTGCTGGTGTGTCTTACACTCCGATGGAATTTCTCCTCTCTTTCACCTGATATTGGAAATTAATAGATTGGCCAGAACATTTGGTACTGTTGACAATGGTTTCTATTCTCCCCTCTTGTTTGTCTAAAGATTCCTGCCATAATTTACTGACAGTAAATAGACTTGTATATCTGACAACGCCATCACAAACTAACACTTGGTTGAGTGAACCTATTGGAGCCCTGAGACTCGGAATTTCCAGAAAAATTGCAGCCCCAAAGCAGAGACTTCTATGGAGAGAGAGATGCTAACCCAAGAACACGTAACAAGAAATAGTTTTAAAGGAATGAGTAAAGTTAATGGAGGAGATATAATTGTGATTATTGTCTTGGTATTTCTGGTAATTGAGTGAGTGTGTGAGAGTAGGAAAAAACATACACTGTCTTTCCTCTCTCTCACCGCAACAAGCAACACAGAAGACCGACTTCTGACTTCTGTGACCAAATGTGTGGGGATCTCCCCACAGGCAGGCAATCCAGCAAGTTCTTAGTGGGCACCAGTGGGTTGTCCTCCAATTCAATTCTGACATTATCTGCCTGGAGATAGTGTCAGATCCCACAGGTTAAGGGCTCAGTCCCTAAGACTGCCCCCCCACTTCAGATGCCAGTCACAAGTCAGACCTCTGGAACTTCTACCAACCAGCAATAATTCAGGGTTCCTACAACTCCTTTCTTGGGTTCAATTAGTTTGCTTGAGTGGCTCACAGACCTCAGAAAAACACAGACTCACATTTACTGGTTTATTGTAAAGGATGTTACAAATGATACAGATGAAGAAATGCATAGAGCAAGGTATGGGGGAGGGGCACAGAGCTTCCATGCCTTCCCTAGGCATGCAACCCTCCAGGAACCTACATGTACAGCTATCCAGAATCTCCCGAACCCTGTGCTCTTGGGTTTTTATGGAAGTTTCATTACATAGGCATGACTGAAGCACGGACAACCACGTAGAAATGTGACTGGACAAAAAGGGTATGATCTAACACTAACAGACTAGGTGGGGAAATCTAGCGAGGCCTGACCATTAAGGTTTCTCTTGGGGCTAGCCTGTGGCTCACTTGGGAGAGTGTGGTGCTGATAACACCAAGCCCGCGGGTTTGGATCCCTATATAGGGATGACCGGTTGGCTCACTTGGAAGAGCGTGGTGCTGACAACACCAAGTCAAGGGCTGAGATCCCCTTACCGGTCATCTTTTTTTTTAAAAAAAAAGATGACCGGTAAGGGGATCTCAGCCCTTGACTTGGTGTTGCACTTGGGAGAGTGTGGTGCTGATAACACCAAGCCCGCGGGTTTGGATCCCTATATAGGGATGACCGGTTGGCTCACTTGGAAGAGCGTGGTGCTGACAACACCAAGTCAAGGGCTGAGATCCCCTTACCGGTCATCTTTTTTTTTAAAAAAAAAAAGGTTTCTCTTGGCCTGTGTGTGCAGCATTCCTTCCTCGTGGGCATGGGGCAGGACCCCTCCTGAAATGGGGGTCTTATGACCTACAATCAGCTAAGGTAGGTCAGAGAATTTCCTGCCTTGAGGAGAAAAAGGAACAGGTAAAAGAGGGCAGGAGAAGGTCAGAGAGTAGCATGAGCCAGGAACCGTGCACAAAAACCAATATATAAATATCATAATGTAATAGTAATGTACTTCATGTCCTTTTTTTTTTTTTCTTTTCCTTTGATTAGTCCTATAATACAGCTCCTTTTCTTTACCCTGGCTCTGGTCTCTAACCCTCTATTTAGCAGACCATACTTGCCAACTGGAATAAACATTCTCTCTCAAAAACAAACAAACAAATTGCTTCATCAATGGGCCACTCTAAAAGTCTCTCCTGGCATTGTCTATATCTACACAAGAATAGACTCTCTCCTTAGGGCCGTCCATGGCTCACTTGGGAGAGCGTGGTGCTGACACCACCAAGTCAAGGGTTAAGATACCCTTATGGGTCATCTTTAAAAAAAAAAATAAGAATAGACTCTCTCCTTCATTGCCAGCCATTTCCAACCAATCTCTTAAAGTTCGCGATGGAATAGAGTTTGTCTTAGATGATAGATTTTTATGGAGCCTGATGTTAAGTTCCTTAAAATACTGTCTTTCCCTCATGAGCACACCCACAAAAATTCAGAATCATATAAAATTTCCTATATGCCACAGGAGAGTATCCTATGGGCCATGTTATTTGTTGGTTTTGCATATCATAAAATTTACCTTTCTCAAGTTTGCAGTGATTTTGCTAACTGGTGCAACTCTTAGCAAATGAGTTTTAGGACATTTTCATCCCCTCAACAATTTTTATCCCTCCTTCCTCAAGCCCAGGCAACCGCTAATCTACTTTCTGTCTCTATAAGTTTTCCATTCCTGGACATTTCATGTAAATGGAACAGTATGAAGCCTCTTGTGTCTGGCTTGTTTCATTTAACATAATGTTTTTGAGGCTCGTCCATGACATAGCAAATGTCAGTAGTTTCTTTTTACTGCTGAATACTGTTCCATTGTAGGGATTTACCACATTTTGTCTGTCCATTCACCACTTGATGAAAATTTAGGTTATTTTCAGTTTGGGGCTATTATGAATAATGCTGCTATGAAAAATCATGTGCAAGTCTTGCTGCAATGTATATTTTCTTTTTTCTTTCTTTTTTTTTTTTATTTTTCAAGATGACTGGTAAGGGGATCTTACCCCTTGACTTGGTGTTGTCAGCACCACGCTGGCCATCCCTATATAGGGATCTTACCCCTTGACTTGGTGTTGTCAGCACCACGCTCAGCCAGTGAGCAAACCGGCCATCCCTATATAGGGATCTGAACCCGCGGCCTTGGTGTTATCAGCACCGCACTCTCCCGAGTGAGCCACGGGCCGGCCCCTTATATTTTCATTTTTCTTGAGTATATTCTTAGAAGTGGAATTGCTGGGTTGAATGGCAGTTTACATTTAACTTTTTGAGAAACTGCCACACTGTTTTCCAGAGTGCTGCCATTTTACATTCCCACCAGCAATGTATGAGGGTTCCAATTTCTCAACATCCTTGCCCACGTCTGTTATTGCCTGTCTTATTTATTATAGCCATTCTAGCGGATATGAAATGGTATGTCATTGTGGTTTTAATTTGCATTTTCCTAATGATTAATGATGTTGAACATCTTTTCATGTATTTAATAGCCATTTGTGTATCTTCTTTGATGAAATGTCTATGCCCATTTCTTTTGCCAATTATTTGATCAGATTGTCTTCTTATTATTGAGTTGTAAGTGTTCTTTGTAGAAGTACATGGCTAGATGGAGTCTCCATCAGCCTGGGTTCCTAAGAAGCAGAATACCCCTGACAACCCATACTATACACTGCAGCTTGAGGAAGAAATAAATGTTATTTGTATCAAACCACTGAGCTATTAGGGCTATCACTGTAACAGAAGCTAGCTTATTACAACTGCTACAAACTATACTTAATATACAGGACACACATTTACTCATTCCATAAGCGGAAAGAGCTTGTTCTCAAGAGCCAGATTGCCTGGGGTGGAATCCCAGCTATTATCCAGGGGGCGGCGTTGGCCATGTTCCTTAATGCATGTGTCTGTTTGTAAAATGCAGACAATAGTATCTGTACCTTATTGGAATAAATATAAATAATTTAGGGTAGTGCCTGGCAGATAATGCTTTACTGTAGGTATTAACTGTTAGTAGGGGATGGCTCTTGCTGGGCCCCTTATCCTTCCACAGCCATCTATCCAGAACATGTTGGGCACTCCCATTCCCATCTCTTCTATTGGAGAGTTGAGTGCAGTGCAGAGCAGTTGACCCTGGGAGGCTTGAGTCCAATTTAAATGGTAAAATCCTGGGCTTGTCTCTAGATTAGAGCTATGGTGAAAAATGAAATTGAGAGCTATGAATGTCTCTTAGGTTAGAAGAATAGTTAAGTACAGGGTGAGCATCCCTAATGCAAAAATCTGAAATGCTCCAAAATATGAAAATTTTTGAGCGCCAACACAACACTCAAAGGAAATGTGCATTGGAGCATATTGGATTTTAGATTTTCAGATTAGGGATGTTTAGCTGGTATGTATTCTGCAAATACTTCAAAATCTGAAAAAAATCCAAAATCTGAAACACTTCTGGTCCCAAGCGTTTCAGAAAAAGGATACTCAAGCTGTATCTGGCTAGTTCATAGTAAGTGTCAGAGCTGGGAACTGACCAAGTTTAACTGGCTTTGACCAATGGGAATTTAATTAAAACAGTCACATTCCCATTCACATCCAAATAATTTACAAGTCACATATGGAGTGTCTAGTTTATTTAAATTGGCTGTCAGAGGTCCCACCATGGAGCAGAAACTGAATATCTGGGAGCTGTGGGGCTGAACAGGGTAGGGATGTGCAGGTATCAAAAGGTAAAAGGAGCTCAGCTGAGCAGCCAGAGTAGTGTTAGGGCCAGGCTGAGCAGGAGAGGCCAGGCCCTACGCAGCCCAGTCCCACTCATGGTTGAAGCATAGAACCTCGCCACCTCCTCGTTGGGGTTGCCCTGGGTTGGGTCAAACCACATCTGGATGCAGCGGCCGCTCCCTCTGCTGTAGTTGCTGACCTTGTAGGAGTGAGTCCAGATTTCATTGCACAGAGCAGCAGGTGTGGGGAAGTAGAAATGGAAGGGTTGGCAGGCAGCTCCCACTGGGCACTGGTTATACCCTGTAGGGAGGATGGAGACCTTTAGCCACTGGGCCAAGAACTATCTCTGGTTCTGCCAGCCGTACAACCCCAAATCTTCACATACCCGTCCCACACCCCCAAAACCTCCACCTCCAAATACCTCCCTCCTTGCCCCGCTCTAGCCCTCACCTGAGGTCCAGTTCCAGCCCTTATGCCAATTGCTCTTGCAGGTGTAGGAGGTGCGACAATCCTCCCACCAGTCCTGACAGTCCTCTTTGCACAAGGGCACATTCAGGATCCTCTCTTTGCGCCAGCTCTGGTCCACCTGGGAGATTTTGGTAGAGAAGAAGGGCTCAAACTCAAGATTCTCAACAGCACAGCACTGAATACAACGAGTTGGAGGCATAGCCTGCAGAAATGTCTGGAAAACTCAGCTTCTCTGCTAGATTGAGGGTGCCAATCTAGCCAGAAGGGCACTCATACCTGCTGGATCCAGGGCCCCAAATTGGGGGAGCACTCATAGAGGCAGGTATCCTGGATGAAGTGCTGTTTGCACACAGGTGCCATCTCTCTACAGTGGTCCCAGTTGAATCTGTACAGGTAGGAAATATCCTTGTGGGCTTCCTGGCTGGTGTTGGTGGAGCAGCAGGCATTCTTCCTCCAGGGCCTGCACTGGACAGGGGAAGACACAGTACTAAGTCCACAGCCAGCGCAGCCACAATATCCCACATGCAGCCTCTCTCCTAATTTAGTTGATTCCCCAACCCAGTCAAAGTCATCCAGGGAAATACTTACTATTGGGGCCCTCTTTGGGGGAAGGGGCTCTCAGTATCTGTGAGCCTAGGAGGGAGGTGCAGTCATTGCAAAATTCATTAATTCAAATCTTTATTGAGCCCCTACATTTCTACGAACTGGGGATACAATGATGAACACTTGTCACATGATAATTGCTTTGGAAAAAAATAAAGCAGGGGAGAGGTATGGGGACTTGCAGTGTTATGAGGTGATCAGATTAAGCCTCATTAAGAAGGTAACAAAGACCTGGAGTTGAGGAAGCAAGTTAAATTGTAACCCAGAATAGCTCAACACTCAATACATACTTATCAAATGAATGAAAACCCATGGCCTAGAATTTAGGATAAAGCAAAATATTAAAATGTGCACTTTTTAAAAAATAAAGGCTGAATAAGTTAGAATCAAGGTTGCTCGAGGTATCCAGTTTATACCACCACTTGTCCATCCACACTTGGCTGCTGCGGCTCAGTGCTTCAAAACAAGTGCAAATGGGACTGTGATCATTATCTGCTAATGGAGTCAAAATGAATATTTACATATTGAAATGCAGATTACAAATTACTTTCCTTTTGCTTTTCTTTACAGTTATGGCATCATTTTGATTTTTAAAAATGTTTAGCTAGGCTCAGGATATTAAAGGGGTCGTGGCAAAATAACTGTTATAAGGAAACTCAGTTCCAACGAGGTCAAGAGCCACAGCCCAGATGTTGATTAAATGCATGAATCATGATCCTTCACACCCACCCTCATGGCTGGGAGAGACCCATTTTCTTGAGCTGTTTAGGGCTGGCAGAAAAGAAGCCACTATGTGGAGGGTGCAATTTCTCCTCTCAGATCTTTAGAGGAGGCATTTCCAGCCTAAACCGTGAAATCAAAATCCAGGATGGATCTCTCCAACTTCATTCCCCAGGCTCTTCTCTGGGCCTGCGTCCTTGTTTGTGTTACGTGGAAGCCCAACCACCAGGAAGGTGAGCTGTTGGCATTATACTGCCAACATTTGATACACAGTGCATGTCAAGCAATCGCCCATGTTAGCGCAAACCGAGGCTCTCCTACATGGAGCAGGGTTTGACACGTGTCTCTCCTGACTTCCTCTTCCTGAGTTAGCCCTCTGCACCCAGATCACCCCTCAGCCCACCTGCTTATGCAATTTGTCCTCAGGGCCTGGATTTTCCTTGTGATGCTTGGCGTCCATGCAGACATTGAGAACTTCAGTCCTGGCCCGTGAAGTCCTGGGCTGGGCCCCCACTAGGGTGACCACCCACACTAGCAGGAGCGGCAGCCGTGTACTCATCAGCCTGGCCATGTCAGTCCCTGAAGGAAGAGCTGTAGTCAGTGGCACCAAGGAGTGCAGAGGTGGGGCCTCAAGATTTGGCACATTTCTGGAGGGGGTGGAGCCTCCACTGAAGCCTGGGGCAGGTCATGCCCTGTGACCTTCCCCCCTCCCTTTTCTCACACTCAGTGAAAGGTGAAATTGGACACCACTCCCTGGGGAAAGTCTCTGGCTGGAGCCTCCAGGACTTCTCCAGGTGGTCACATGGATCTAGTGATGCAACTAAGGGATGGCGCTTGGGCAAAACGCAGAAATAGCCAGGAGTTTGCTGTGGATCCACAATTCCTTACTCAACATCCTTGGAGCAAATATTTCACAGTTAAAAAATTTTTGGATTTTACAAAAGGTAATACAAACTAAGGTAATATGATATACTTGCATCCAACAAACACATATTCTGTGCTGAAATAGTTACACTAGTGGGATAAATAAAAACTAAATATAACCTCACAATAATTTTCAGGTCAGATTTTGACACCAAATGACCTTGTGTAAAAGTTTACAAAATGCCTTAGTTTTGGAGCTGCAGATAAGCTGCAGATCTCTTTAAAAAAAAAAAAAAAAGACTTGGTTTCAGCCCCTACCAGCTTCATCACTTGGGCTAGTCCAGTAGGTCTCCAGGCCGACTCTGCCCAGCAGGGCTTGGGTAGGCCTGGAATTGAATTCCCACCCAACTCTCCTCCCTTATCCACAATCCATTATTCTGTTATCTATTCCAGTATTCATTCTTTCTCTCATCTACTAATTCATTCCTTCCAGGACCTAATCATGCCTCTGTTGACCTACTCACTCACTAATCTTGAGCACCTGGCCAGGGAAATCTGTACTATCAGTGATTCTTCCGATTAGCCTCCTGGGGGGGAAACAAAGCCTACCGGTTTAGCACACAGGATTCCAGTTCAGTCTGTCCAGGACCTGAGCCTTCACTCGACCTCTTGTTTGGCCTTAGGGGAAAATAGATGTAAACTATCTTGAAACTTAGTTTCCTCATCTGAGGATTGAATGTGAGGAAAAAGTAACAAATGATAGCCCATTTAATATATGTGGAATCCGAGCACAGACTGAGAGGCATGCCTCAAGTTACTCAGCAGGGACCACCCAAGTCTGACTCCGGACTGATGACAGAAAATGGCATTGGTTCAGTCTAAGCTTTCAAAACAGAGCTGAGAAGCCATCTTACTGGCCAACATCTGACCAAAATAAGCCAGCAGAAATCTAAATCAACATATTTGCCTTGGGACCTTGGGCTTATGACTTGGTTGGGACATCCTGTTCCCAGAATAATGATATGTCACAAAAATTTACTGTTTGCTTTTGTTAGTTAAAACTTGCTATGTTCATGATGCTAGATAAAAGCTGCATACTGAGAGAACATCAGTGTTAAACTTTTGATTTGTTTCACTGCTATGTAACCATTGATTGACGGGATTTTTTTTCTCTTTTGGTGGCTAGCCGGTAAGAGATCCATGAAGCAATTTTCTGACAAAGGGACAGCCCACACTTGCTCCTTTCCCTCTTCCACTACATAAGCTCAGTGATTTTTACAGACCTTTGGGAAACACATCCAGCTCTGTTTGGTTGTGCTTCCCGGGTCGATCCTCAAACTTGGCTCGTAATAAAAGTTTTTCTCTCCAGCCCTTGGTTTCGGATGACAGGTCCCTCAAGTCCAGGCCAGAGCTCCTTCAGCTTTTGCCAGGGTAACCTTACCACACGAAGGGATCTCATGGGATCAGCAAACACACAGTGCTGGGGTGAGGGCTGAGAAAGTAGTCTCTCTTACTGTGACTGCTTTCTGGAGCCAGATCTCTCTTCCTCTCCTTGTGACTTACATCACTCTGCAAGTCCCCTACCCTCTTTCCTAGTCTCATCTTTAGATCTTGGTCCAGCTGTGATGCTTACCAGCACCAACCAGCACCCCCACCCCCAACCCTGGAGCCCCAGAGTAGAAGAGCTGAGAACTCGGTGCTGGGCTGAAGAGCAAAAGCCCTGGGTTCTACTTTAAGGATGGACACTAACTCGTAGTTTGGGCAGGCCACGCTCTGGTCTGGGCCTCAGTCTCCACTTCTGGATTCTCTGGGCTTCAGGCAAACAGAGAGCCCTCCCAGTTCAGCAAACCCTTTAGTGCATGCTGGGAATACCTCTGGTGGGGGTTGGGGAATGGCATACCTGGATAGGGTGTGTGGCCTCTGGTGGGGGTTGGGGAATGGCATACCTGGAAGAGGAAGCAGCTCTTGGTCTGGCTCAGGCTTCTGCTCTGCTCTGCTCTGCACTCCTCCTTGCCTTATTCCAGGAAATAGTTGCGGTTTAGTGGCCTAGGAGACGGCAGCAGGCAGCAGGAATGAAGCCCAGTAGTGAAACCTGGGATCGGCGGAAGGCCACTCAGGCACTCAGCAGTTAATTTTTGCACCTGAGCAACAGCCAGGCCTCTGTTGGGGGGGGGGAGGGAGAGTAGGAGGGGGTGGGTTAATAGTGCTGGCCTAAGGCCAGTCCCCAAGCTCCACTTACCCCGCTTTCTCCCAGAAGCTCAGGTCCAATAAAAATCTTGCAGTCTGAGCTGCCAGAATCCTTCAGTATAATCTCATGCATTTCTAACAATCCTGTCCTGTTACACAGATGAGGAGAATGAGACCCCAAGAACCAGGGCAGAGCCAATTTTAGAGCAAGGGCTAAAACACAGGCTTCCAACCTCCAGCCAGCTGTAGAAAAAAAGGATCTCTTATTTCCCCAACTTATGGAGACACCAACTCCTCCAACCTCATCAGCCCACATGTCACTCGCCTCCAGCCATAAAATCTCAGATGTTCCAAATCTTTTGATTGGAGCCTCAGTCGTTTGAAGGTCCACACTCCCTTCCTACCTGTCACTCACTCCCCCACCCACTCAGGTATCCTTTCTACAGCATCTAAGAGTCTGGGCTAATTAGACTTCTCCCCCATCCCCACCCCAGCCAAGGACAGAGCCTTCCTTTTTTAAGTCTCTGAATCCATGGCAGTATGACTGGCAGGAAAAGGGAGGAGGAACAGATTTGAGCAGGAAGAAACACAGAGCTCTGTTTTGTTGAGGTGCCTGTGTGTAGCCCAGGAGGAGGTGGTTTAGAGGCCAAAGCTCAGTGGGAGGGTCCAGGTTGGACACAGATGTGGGAGCCATCAGCCTATGAATAGCAGTTTAGGAAAGAATGGGACCCAATACCCTGGGGAATGCCACAGGTCTGGACTCAAGGGGTAGAGGGGACATGAGGCCAGAGGAGGCAGTTGGACCTCTGGAGGAAAATCAACCAAGTGGGAAGGCCCTCAAGGGCCTGCAAAGAGACACACCCCAGGAAACCCAGTGCGGATCCTGCCTTCCCTCTCCCTACCTGAATCCTGTGACAACCTGGGAGGATTGAGTCCTCTGAAGACCTCAGCAGGTAGAGGGCCTCGGGAGCCCTCAGCCCACCCTCCTTGTTTATAAGCCCAGCTTATCCTGCTGATTGGAGAAGGGTGGGCCAGGTGTCTCTAGCAGTGAGGAGGGGATCTCCTCTCGACAGAGCTCCTGCCCCCTCATCCTCTGCCCCTGCTGATCATTAACTGGACTCTATGGCCTCTGCACTGCCAGAGTGAAATTTGCCCCTTGAGCCAGGTCCTGGGCCTGGAGGGCTTCAGAATAAGTGACCAGCAGATGGAGGGTTGAGTTGGGGGTCAAATTCAGTTCCTCGAATGTCACTGCCCCTTGTTGAGCCTCAGTGCCCTGTTCTGGATGATGAGGTGGTATGTACATCTGGCACTACGGCCATTTGGCCAGCAGGGAGGGACAGAGTCAGGCAGCTACCTTGGAGCTAGTCCAGAGAGTATCTGCCTTGGCTGGAACCTTAATACCAGCAAGGTTAACCATTGGCATTCCTTTAGGCCCCAACCTGAAGGCTGCCCTGTGACCAGGCAAAAATAACAGGAAGGTGTTTAACCTGCAAGGGTGGGATTCTGGACTTCAGGGAGCAGAAGGGGGCCTGGGAGTGGGGGAGGAGAGAAACGTGAGCTCTCCCAAGTGCCAGCCCTTTGCACACGCTCTCACCTCACCGTCTGCACAGCTGCGGAAACTGCAGTTCTGAGTCTGATGCCACGGCTGGCTTTTTTCATGTAGCAGCTGCAGGAGAGAAGCTCTCTGAGGGGGCCTCAGGGCACCATCCTAAGGATTGCAGATCCAGTGTGTCTTTTTTTTTTTTTTTTTCTAAAAGATGACCGGTAAGGGGATCTTAACCCTTGATTTGGTGTTGTCAGCACCACGCTCATCCAGTGAGCTAACCGGCCATCCCTATATGGGATCCGAACCCGTGACCTTGGTGTTATCAGCACCACACTCTCCCGAATGAGCCACGGGCCGGCCCCCAGTGTGTCTTTTTTGGCCTGATCTCCTGCCCACACCTCCTCATAACTTCTATCTCAGCCAGCTAGGAATTCTGCTTGCGCTTCTGTCACTTCCCAAACCTTTGCACTTTCTGAGACCTCTCCATGGAATGCCACTCCCCCTGCCGCTTTCTGCTTGGCAAACATTACTCCTCTGGAAGCCTTCCCTGACCTCTTCTGTGGGCTTCCACCTCCTCATAACTTCTATCTCAGCCAGCTAGGAATTCTGCTTGCGCTTCTGTCACTTCCAAACCTTTGCACTTTCTGAGACCTCTCCATGGAATGCCACTCCCCCTGCCACTTTCTGCTTGGCAAACATTACTCCTCTGGAAGCCTTCCCTGACCTCTTCTGTGGGCTTCCACAGAACACCACATTCTGTGCTTCCCTCTATCAAAGCCTCATTTCATTGTTCTAAGAGTTATTGGTTCACAGGTCTGTCTGTAGCCACCAGACCTTTCAAGGGACTCCATTCCCTTCCCGTTGCTGAGACCAGCGGGGGCCAGCAGGCTGCGTGCTCCAAAAGCATTTGTTGACTGACAGAATGAGCGCATGGATGGCTTAACCTATTGAGCACCTTCCCTGTGCCAGGCACTGACCCAAGCCCTGGGGATCTGGCACAAAATGACATAGACACAAGCCCCTGCTTTCAGGTGTGTATGTTTTGTCAGGGAAAAACCAGACAATAAACACAGTAGATAGAGACATCTGTTCAAGAGGACTAGAGGGATGTAGTAGGAAAGCATCTGGATGGCTTCTTCAGGTTGGGTGGTCAGAAGTCATTTTAGGGGGGCATTGTAGGTTGAGGTCTAAGTATCCACAAGGAGCCAGCATGCAGAGGATGAATGGAGAACATTCCAGGCATTTAGGGAATTGCTGGAGCAAAGTGGGACGTGTGAATGGAGCTCATTTATGGGGGTGGGGAGAGAGAATATCGACATGAGGTCTAGCAGGATGGGCAGGGCCATCTATGCCACTGAAGTTTGTTTTTTGCAGCAGATACCATGGGTAAGCATTGAAGGGTCGGTGAAGGGGCTCTCACATAATAAGTCATTTTTAGGTTTTGTTTTTACTTTTTAAAAAATGTCCATAAAAACTTGTGGGTGAAAGTGTGCTGACGAAAAGGATATCTATAGTTCTCAAAGTTTCTTCCTACAGCATGCTTACTAATCACGAAGGATAAAAGAGTGGTGGAAAAACCTGGCAGACTCTCAACCAAAAGATCAAAGTTAACGTCACCAGGAATAGGAAAACCCTACACCATGTGCCTCCCATTATGATGTATGAAGTACATGGTGTTGCTTTGGGGTATTCATGCCAAAAGTGAATAACCTCCATCTAATCACTAGGAAATAGATAAACCCAAATGGAGGGATACTCTACAAAATAACTGGCTTGTGTACCAGCCAGCCGCCAAACAACAACGACAACAAGATAACTGGCCTGTGCTTTTCGGAAACATTAATGTCATAAAAGAACCCCATTCCCTCATATATTCATGAGGAGGGAACTGAATTCAATGTGATGTTTACATAGAATGGAGTATTACCGTCAATTAAAAAGAATGAACTAGATCTCAATAGATCAATCCGCAAAGATCTCAGAAACAACATTCTCTTAAGAGACATGGTGAATGAAAACTACACTGAGGTGCCCTTTTCCCACCTATCAGATGAACAGAAAACCAAAGTTTGGTACCGTACTGTGTAGTCAAAGCTGTGGCGAAATAGCCACTCATACTTTGCTGGTGGGGGGGCCCCTTGACACACCCCCTATAAAGTTGTAATGATCAAAATGATACGTACTCCTGACCCAGCAATCCTCTTCTGGAAGTCAAGTATAACATTCTTCTATGTATAAGACTGTTCAATGCAATATTATTTGTCATTTTAAAAAAAGGGAAACAAGGCAGGTGTTCATCCTTGTGATCCCCCCACCAATACTTCCACCCCAGCCCACATCTAGTAAGGTAAAGGGAAAGAAACATCCTTCCCCACCAGGCGCCCAATAACTCATCCACCATCTACCCACCTTCCCTCTACCATTTCCCTTTTCCCTTTGTGATGCGCTTGGCATGAGGGGGAAGCTCGGCACAGGGGTAAGAACCCCAGACTAAGGGATCAGATGCTTGGATTCTAACTCAATTTCCACCCCTTACTTTCCACTGAACTTCAACCTACTTTCAGCCCCATTTGGGGCCTCTCAATAGGAACGATAGGCGATGTGTCCCCCCAACCCATTCATCCCCAAATCATTTACAAGACACAAAACACACACGGATTTGTCTTTTAGAACAGGCTGCTAGAGGAACCCCAGGGACCCTTCTTGGATCAGGAACCAGAGACAAGGGCCCCAGTCCCATGGGGTGTGGCCCCAGCATTCATGGCGGCAGCACAGAACTTCGCCACTTTCTCATTGGGGTTGCCCTGGGCTGGGTCAAACCACATCTGGATGCAGCGGCCGCTCCCTCAGCTGTAGTTGCTGACCTTGTAGGAGTGACTCCAGAGGCCCTCACAAAGAGCGGGAGGTGTGGGAAAGTAGGACTCAAACGCGGCAGACAATCCCGGCTGAGCACTTGTTAATCCCTAGGGAGAACACAGAACTCTTAGCTTCTGGGCCAGACTGCACCTCTCCCAACCCCAAACCACCATTCCTCACCCCCAGGCCCTCACCTGAGGTCCAGTTCCAGCCCTTTTGCCAATTGCTCTTCCAAGTGTAGGAGGTGCGACAATCCTCCCACCAGTTCTGACAGTCCTCTTTGCACAAGGGCACATTCATGATTCGCTCTTTGTGCCAACTCTGGTTCACCTGGGTGGCTTAGGAGGGAGGACTCTTGTCAGCCAAGTATCTCAGCAGCTACTGCCTCAAAGGGGACTGGGGCTGGGGGAGGGGGCAGTGGCTTCACTACCCTTAGACCAGAATCCTGGAACCAAGTTCTCCCTGAAAATGGCTTGCAGGCTTTGCCCTCTGCTGAGGTTTATGTTTGTGGGGACAACACTCATATCTCCTTGATCCAGGGCCCCAG